TGTCGGTCCCGCGGCGAGCTGCGCGTCGACGACGGCTGCGAGTGCGATGTCGCCGACCCGTGCTGGGACGTCGGCGACGACGAGCTGGAAGAGGCGGTCCGGAAGGCGGGACTCCCGTGGCTCTGGGACACACCCTCGACGGGGTACGTCCGCCCGATCTGGTTCTGCTGCTCGCTCTGGGTCTTGCGCCATTGGTCGGCGACGACGGTGACCCGGAAGCCCCACTGCGTCTCGAATTGGTTGTCCCATTCCTGCACCAGTGGGTCCGTCGGGAAGTATTTGCTATACGTCTGCACGCAATCCCAGCGTCAGTACTGCGGCCGTCAATGAGCTGCGGGACAACGGTGTCTTACCCAGATGGTGCATGCCGCTGAGGAATTTGTAACGTGAGAAACGTGACGGAAGGAGACAAATGAACCGCCTTACAAAGGATGGTGTTCTTGGCGCGTAAGCCCGTTGCCTTGAAGACCTGGTCGAGTTGGTCCCTGACCCAGCCGACGGGCTCCTCGTGTAGCCTTTCCTCGGCCTGCCAACGCGTGTGTGAGTGACGCGCGGAGCCGAAATGCACGGTCGACTTACGTCCGCCAGCTCGAGGCTCAGGCAGGGGTGCAGCGTATGAATGAATAGGAAACACCACGCGCCCGTGTTGGCCCCCGTCGCGAACATCTCAATATGTTTTTCGAGGCTTTCCGGTGAGAACCGCAGCTGGTCCGGGAGCAACGTTACCCACGCCTGCATAGCAAAAACCGATGGGATCAGCGGGAGCGTGACAAGTCGACAAGCACGGGCGCGCACCTGGACGGCTTCTCGACACGCAGCCAGTGCCGGCGGGCGAGTCTCCGCGGGCTTGGTGGCTGCCAGGCACGAGGCACGGGATCAGCGTTGAGCCTATTTAGGGGTGGCCGGACGCCGCACTCACCGATAATTGTCTCGAGCGTGTAGTACATGGATAGCGCGCGACACACATGGCCAAACTGTGACGCCATCTTGCTGCGCGGTGCTGGCTGGTGCAAAAATTCTGGGAGGGGCGGTGCGGCAGGGATGAGCGACTGCACGTCTGGGCACGGAAGGCACTCACCGGGAGGCTTGGACCGCCCGAGCTCGAAGCTGTTCTCGTCGAGGGGGAGAGGGAGGATCTTTGTGAGCTCGGCGCTGCGGGGGCGCATCTGGCGGTAGGTGTAGATGCCGTTGATCCACTCCATGCACTGGACGAGCCAGAAGCAGCGGCGGGTGCACTCGCGCTCGATGTTGTACTGGCGGGCCTCGACGACGGAGAGGCCAGCGAGCGAGGCCTGGGAGTCGGCCTTGTGGACCTCGAGGGCGTCTTCGAGAACCTTGAGAGCCAAATCTGGAAGTTCGAGAACCAAAGGCGGGATCAGACGGTTGCCACGTTGCGGGTGCGGATTGAATTGATTGAGGGATGTCGAGAAGTTTGATGGCCATCAGCACCGACTGAATCGGAAGCTTAGTGATTTCGAACTTACCAAAGTAGCGATAGTGCTTCGTCCACGAATGGGACGCTGCTATCTCGTGCATTTCCAGAAGGCACAGGGCCTGTGCCGTCGCCAGGGACGGCTCGCTCAGCAGGCGGCCAGACGCGTCGAACATCATGTTCACCGCCTCCTGGAAAAACTGCACTCCCGCAAGCCGCGGCATCGGCGCCGTCGACGTGATGTCTTTGCACCACGGCGCCGCCAGCGCGCACAGCGCGAGGATCAGGCACTGCGGCACCCGCTCGTGCGTCAGCGACGCGGAGAACGACGGCTTGTGGATGATCAGCCGGTGCGGGTTGCAGTGCGCGAAGAACACTGTAGGCATCGTGAGTTCACAGGCCACACACGGTGCACATGGCGACACCCAGACTGACACTCTATCAGCTGCAGCTGGAGGACAGGGTCCAGCGACGACGTCGGCGAGTCGTGTCCCGAGTCCGCACTGGGCGATGAGCTCGTAGCCGACGCCATACTGGGGGACGTTTCAGGCTTGACGCGCTTTGCCGAGGAGTCGAGCTCGGCGTGCCGACGCACGCTCGCACCACCACCACCACCACCACCACCACCACCACCCTCGGATGCAGTGGGCGGATTCGCGTATCCGGTTGATATCCGAGCTGGAGGCACCCTGTCCTGATTAGCGTTCGAGCGAGGAGCGGGGACGGGCCGGCCAGACGAATCGGTGTAGGTGCACTCCTTGGAGGCAAAGAAACTGCGGCGAAGGTTCGTGAAAATGAGTCAATGCGGAACAAAGGGGTGTGCCATAACAGCGCCTACCAGTTGCTGCAGGGGGCTAAGCCAATATGTAAGTCCGGCGGCAGTGGAGAACACGAGGAAGGTGGATAAACTTACCGGTTCCGTCGCAGCGGCGTTTGCTCTTGTGACAGGCATCGCACGCCTGGCAACGGGTGGAGGAGAGGACACATGAGCGTGGTGCAGCAGATCACCAGTGGCCTTGGTGCGCACCTTGCTGAGCCGCTTGCGCTTTCCGCCCTTGACAAAGGCCACGCCCGACTGATCGCTGGGTGGGGGTGCTTTGGGAGTCTCCGGGGACGCCATGATGGTCATGCGAGAGAACTCGCGATGGGTTCCTGTAGGGGCAGAGCCAGGAATGCAGTCAGATGATATGGCAACGACCCGCAAACCGTCCGAGACGGGACGAGGCATGGAAGACACACAGAGATGGGCTGAACAGTCTGAGGTGCGCAAGGCAAACGAGGGTTTCCTGTGCGAAGACGCGACGGGGCGCGCAGCGGGCCTGTGTGGAATGAGCGCGGAGGCGGCGGCGACGGAGACAGGCAGGAGCTGGGCGAAGGTGAGGGGCAGGACAGGACAGGACAGGGTGGGATGCCGGCGGAGACTATAAGAAGAGTTGCAGATGAAGACAGGGTACCGAAGGAGGCGCACGGCAATGGACGCGTAGTGACAGCTTCACGGCTTCCTTTCCTGTCACAGCTGGACAATAAACACTCGCGCGGTAATAACCGGGCATCAGGCCTTAATCACACGGGCAAACCCACCGCTCGCCGGTTGTCACGCCGTCATGTCACGCTTCGTTTCGCTTGTCCCGCCGCCGCACCCTGACCCCGGGACACCCCGCGCTGTACCGGGCCCCGCGCCGCGCCAACGCATGCACGCACGCGCAGCCGATGTCATCGCCAACTTCTCCCAGCCGGCGGGGCGCTGCGGGAGACGACGTGCAGCAGGAGACCGGTGTGCATGCGAGCCGAGAGGCGCAGCACAGATCGATGCTCTGCCGTCGGAGCCGCGGCAAGAACGCCCGCCAGTGCCGGCGGTATTTTCCGGTCCGCGGCAATCCAGAGCCTCCCCAGCCGGCGGTAACTACCCACATTTAGCAGCCACGCCCAGTCCACCCCCTTCGCGAAGCTGCCAATCTCGGAACGCGCAAGGCACGCCTCGTCACAGAATTCATTCTTGACCGTCACCCTGCATCCGCCGCGCTCAGCAGTCACACCACCCGGTGGACGCACAGAGCGAAGAGGCGGTGTCCTGATCCTCCGCCCCCCTGAAAATCGAGCCCCCGGGGGTATCCCAATCGAGTCCTTTAAAACAAACCTTCGACGCTGTGCTGACTCCTATCGTCCACGCTGCAGCTGATTGGTGTTTCACTCCAACTTGTTCGTTTATCCCGCGATCCGAGACGAACGCACGCGCAGCCGGCCAATTACATTCATCCGTATGCCGCCGTCTTTTCTGTCATGCCTGTACACGACGGATTTCGGGCAACGACTGTCAGCAGTGGCGGCGGTCGGCGTACACAGTAAAACAGCCGACGAGCACCAAGTGTCTGATCGATACACGGAACAGAACAGGCAGGCACAAAGCCAAGCTTCACAATTTTCACGTATCGTCATCAACGATCGTCACGCTCCTAATACGTAGTAGAATAGGTAATACAACGAACGCTGATACACGTGGAAACTTAGTCGAAGAGACCGAAGCCCATATCATCATCGGACTCTTCCTGCACAGCACACATACCGGTCAGTAAACAAGCTGATAAAAATGAAACTCATGCTACTGACCTTCTCCTCTTCCTTCTTCTTCTCTTCAGCCTTCTCCTCAGCAGCAGCGGGACCGGCGCCGCCACCGCCAGCAGCACCACCGCCAGCAGAGACAGCGGCACCACCAGAAGGAACGGAAGAGAGCTTGGAGGAACCCTCAGCGATTAGCTGCAGAGGTCGTGAGAAGTGTAACAGTATCGTAAAGCGTGCTAATGCAAACCTCGTTGATGTCTTTGCCCTCGAGCTCGGAGATGAGCTTGCCGAGGCGCTCCTCGTCGACCTCGATGCCACCAGCACCGAGGACGTTCTTGATGTCGTCGGCAGAAGGGGAGGCATTGCCACCGATCTGTAGGAGGAGGTACGCAGCGATGTAACGCATCTAAGCGGAACGAGACTCGTCAGCACAAGCTTCCTCCGAAATGCAGCACGCCTTTTTGCGAGACGCACTTTGATAAAGTTGTTAGAGGTAGAACGACCGGTAGCCACAAATCACTACAAAAATAGCGTAAAGAATAGCTCAGCTTTACGTCTCTATGATGCACATGATGGCCTACTCACATTTAATCCTCGAGGGACGACCTGTGGATTCTATCCGACGACGGTGAACGGGGTGTAATTTCGTTAGCGCCTAACTAACTTTGGTAGCGGCAGCGTGGCGGGCAGCTGTACAGTTTCTTCTCACGGAAGGCAGGCGCTTCAGCCACCGACCATAGATTTTGAACTCCGATGCAGCCTCGCCAAGCTAGACTAACCGCCCGGCGCACGCTCCCACTGACAACGCAAGATGGTGAGCATGCGCCTCTACGCCGTCGCGCTGCCCGATAGCGGGCTCGGTGTAGGCGAAAGTGCTGACAATGCGCTCTTTTGTGCTAGGCTGACTCCGAGATCACCGACCCGACCCTCGCCGCCGAGCTCAAGAAGAAGAGGACGTTCCGCACGTTCTCATACCGTGGGATCGAGCTTGACAAGCTCCTGGACCTCAGTAGCGAGGAGGTGCGTGCTCATTACTTGAAAAGACGACATGGTTCTCACGTTGTGGCGAATCGTAGTTCGTAGAGGTATGTCTCGTCAGAAAAGGTGCTTTAAAGAGGATGTAGACTTAGGGGATCTGGGGATCTGTAGGTTGTTCACGCCCGCGCCCGCCGCCGGTTCCAGCGCGGTCTCAAGCGCAAGCCCATGGGCCTGATCAAGAAGCTCCGCAAGGCCAAGAAGGAGGCCCCACCAAACGAGAAGCCTGCGGTCGTCAAGACGCACCTCCGTAACATGATTATCGTCCCGGAGATGATTGGCTCTGTTGTTGGTATCTACAACGGCAAGGTGTGTGCGGGCGTAGCTAAGGGGGAAGGGGAAAGTCTAAAGGCTCTGAAACTAGGTCTTCAACTCCGTTGAGATCAAGCCAGAAATGGTCGGCCACTACCTCGCCGAGTTCTCGTGCTCATACAAGCCCGTCAAGCACGGTCGCCCTGGTATTGGTGCGACTCACTGTGCGTACCTTTTTCCCGTCTAGCGAAAGCCTGAAACTGACGTGCTATCCTAGCGTCCCGTTTCATCCCCCTCAAGTAATCACACGCGGGCTTTGTTTGTGTTTTTACTTGATCTGTGCTTTCGCTGTCTTCCTCACGACCTTCTACCGCTGTTCTCTCATGTGCATTACACCACCAAAAGTAGTATGCGACTATGCGTATGCCTACTTGGCGCCAGTAGGATCCTATGTCACAGCTGTCGCCTGAATGTAGAAGACAAACGCACACGGACTCAGTTGTCGTGTAGGGCTGATAGACATCTGACGGTCGCTTTATGACAGCATGAGACAGGTTCAGTAAGAGGTGGGACCGCACATTACTTGAGGCCGGCTGTTGTGCTCTTGCTATCAGATGCCTCCGTAGGGCGAAAATAGACGAAGCAGAGACCGCTGCTCAAGCCTCAGTCCTCAGACTCAGTCGCGGAAGAATTCGTCTCTGACATGGAGCTCAAGATTGGCGGAATCGATGAGATACGTTTCAGAAACCTTCGTTTATAAGCGCTTCCCGTATGACTGTCGCATGCATGTCTCTGCCATCGCCCAAGCTGTGCACTCACTTGCTAATTATTAGTCGTTCACAGGTACTGACCGGGATGAGGGCCCGCCCTCCGCGGACTAATGCATCACCCCAGACCTTCCTCTAGATCTGTCTGCAGAACAACGAAAAGAAATTTTATTTCAGATACTGTTTCGGAGGTGATTGATGTGCGAAAGGTGTGTCATATCCGGCCCTGCTTGTGTGTGCTACTCACAGAGCAGCGATCGCAGGTGCGCCGGCGTGTCGGCGCAGGGGAAGAGCTTCTCTCTGCGTGACAGGCCCCGTTCACGCAGGACATCCTCCGTCGCAAGCAACCCTAGGAGGTCCAGCACCGGCAGGTCGTGGTAGCCCGGCATGCGAGCATCGGGCAGGTCCATCAGCCCCGTCCCGATGGGCTCTGAGTCCCCCACGGACCGCTCGCCATCCGCAAGGGGTGGCCGCAGGAGGGGAAGCTGGTACAGCCGCTTCTTGCGCTCGTACGCCTCGGGCGTCGTTTCTCGGACATGCGAGCCGACCTCGAGGTGGTTCGTCGAGAGCGATGCATAGCCGACGTAATTCGGGTAGAGCATGACGTGCCCCCGCAGGTAGGCGAGCTCGATGAAATACTTCTTCCACGAACGCGTCCAGCGGTTCGAGCGCAGCCCCGGCGCGACGACGCCCCCGACAGGCAACGCTGCGCCTGAGAGCCGTGCGGCAAGGTATTCGTGAAACGCGCGCCAGTGCTCAGGGAAGTATACCGCACCCCAGCTGCAAGGGATCTGCGACAGGTACGGGGTCTCCGGATGCGGCAACGCCGCCGCAGCGAACGTCGTGCGGGCGTTAAACCGGTGGCGCCCTTCTGGACGGAGCTCTAGGTTCTTCTGCTGGTACAGACTTATGCCGAACATCTGTGGCGAGCGGTCTGCGGGTCCGCCATAGCTTCGTGCGGGGAACGGCCTGTCAGCGGACCATTTAGGTTAAAGTTCTAGCCGGGCGACCTCACCGATAGTGCAGCAGCGCCATCTTGATCCACGCGTAGAACAGAGGCGACAGCTCCACGTCGTCCTCGAGTATGAGGCCGTACGAATCCTCTGATTGCGGGTACCAGGACTCTACCACTGCTGGTAGAAGGCCTCCGTGAATTACTCGTCGGTGGACGAACACGGGGCCATGTGGCCACTCAAACTCGTGGACCAGCCGCAGTGTCTGCGGGCCGGCCGTCTGCTCAACGTTAATACGCAGCGCCACTGTGTCGCCAAAGAAGTGCGCCGCAGAGAGCGAGGCTAGCAGGCGTGTGAGGCTAGCGGGTCTATCGTCGGTGATGACGCTAATCTCGAGCTGCGGCTTGCGCCAGTCTGGGATGTACGGTGGTCGTGAGGAATGTGCGGAACGCGAACAGGTGGGAAATTTGACTCACTGCGCCATTCCTCGGCGGCCAACGACCCCATCCAGTCACAGTAGGGCATATCGCCGTCTGGGAGCGACACGAACGTGGTGTTGGGTCCGTATTTTTCGGCAACAAGCCGAGCAAGTGCTGCCGAGATGTGCGGTTCGAGTTCGGATGTCACGACGGCGGCAGGGCTGCAACCCAGGGTCGCCAGCCAGCTATCCAATTGGAGACCAGCCCGATGAACCTCGGTAAACTCAATGGCACAATCAAAGATATCTATGACCTTGGTTTGTGTTTTCTGCGCAGAGTCTGCGCGTGCAGCGATTGTAGCTACGTAGGCCATATGCCCTTCGTGCTGCAGGCGGCAGACAACAGGCGCAAAAGACCTGAGCTGCTGTTCCGATTTGAAAGCGAAAGCGAATACTGATAGCTTGGCAGGAGAACACGCGTCATTTCGGAGAGGCCGCGCAGAGTCTTCACTTGTGCCGGCATGTGGCTTGATCTTCGGCTGCACACCGCGCTCTGCATCGAGACTAGTAGCCGGCCTGTGCTGTACAGCAGAGCACCAGACATTGTTCGCTACACCACGACTAACGGCAACTCCGCCGACGCCTTCGAACCGCGCACGAGCGATGTGATATCCGAGAACGCGCCAGATGTCGTAAACAGGGTCTGGAGATAGATCATGCGGCGGTATCAGAATGGTTGCTACAGAGAAGGGCGGGACCAGGAAAGCGGCAGCCTGAGGTTCGTCTCCGGCTTCGATGCACGAGACCCTGTCACCAGTTACACTGAAGCCTCTGGGTCCGATAGGCAGAGGTGTCATGAGAGGTGCCACAAGCATGCTGAGGACGTCGCCACTGACGGTGGTAATGCTGTCCGAGTCGAAGATGACGACTCTGTCGGCGTAGACCTGGCGCGCGGCATAGAGCAGCGCAGAGCCTTCTTCAAGGCCATTCAGCCACGTAGATACAGATATCTCCATATGCGCGGAGCCGTCGTCGGGAAGCGCGTCGCGTAATCGGTCGCGCACAGCGGGAGAAAGCTCGTCGGGGCAGAGAAGGATGACTTCTTGTAAGAGGCCGCCTAACGGTAAAAAACGCAGCAGGACGCGAGAGATAGCATCCAGGGAATGTTTAGTAACGGGAATGATGGCGACGACTGCTGGAGGCTCTAGCTCGAGGAAAGGTGGATTAGCCGTAGCATGAGAAGCGTCGAGCACATCTTCGCCCAAGCGGGCATCGTTGAGGTTCAAGCCGGGCAATGCGGTCGTTACGTTCGTGTAGTCGCCAGTGACCCCGTAATCTTGACTCCTGGCTTCGGCTGTTTCATGTTTGTTTTGATGCAACGACCTCGACACGCCCAGAAGGACCCAGAAAAGCACTGAGCCAGCGAGAAACAGAGCAACAAGAGGCCTTCGCTTCATGCGTGACCTTGCTTTCAGCATTTTTGAACAGTTCGGTGAGACAGATAGCAGAGTTTACGAGAGCAGATAGCACCGAGTTTGCGCCGGGGATGAGAGCGAAGACTGGTGACGACGAGGTCCAATCAGATCGGGGCGCTTGTGTCGTGATGCCCAGAACGGCAACTCTGACTGCCCGCGAGGTTCATTCTTAAGAGTAGAAATTCATTTGTCCTAGCAGATATAATTAAGCAGATATATATTATCTAGCAGAGTGCCAAGTACTTCTAGAAGGCGAAAGCAGGCCACACGCTAGGCATCGCCTAGGTTTTGCGCCTTAATATTGATGGTGAACGGGGTGCTGCAGCCGCCAGCTGTACGCAATGAACTTTTGGGACAGTAAAACCACAGGCATTAAAATCCTGTCCTCTTTCTCATCTGCATTCGGAACCTTGGAGACGTCCTTGAAGTTCGTCACGTACGGTAATACATTCGAGCAACTTAAGTTTCAAGCTACACGACTGGGATTACATCAGGTGACAACAACACTCCCAATCGGTGCTGGCGTCCGGCGAATCAATGAGCGGGCTATACAGCCCGCGTCCAGTGACAAACACTGCGGACGTGCGCGAAAGAACAAGCGTAATTGTAAAGGGCGCGGTAAGGAGTGGCAACACATCAATAATAACCAGAAACAAAAAAAGACCGCCGCAACACTGGTAGAAAGTGTTGGGCAAGAGCTGGCAAGAGACGCAAAAATCGCGCCACGTGTTGTCGTGTCCAATTTTCTGCGTGATCGGCCAAAATGATGTCCCTGACGAGGACGCCACGACGCTACTATCAATCAGCGGAGTCTCGGAACTCGAGGATGTTTAGGTCCGAGAACAACGTTCTAAGCCCCCGGGTGTCCGTGACGGTTGGCACTCGGAAAGTTTGGGCATGACATAGCGACACAAAACATTACTAGTATCGACGAGTAAAGTGCTGTGTGAGTTACCGATGTCTTCGTACAATAGCCCGATTCGAGAAGCGGCAACGATTCACAATTATTATTAGTGGCAGCGAGTGATTATGAATACAGAGATAGCCCATGTCCTTGTGCAATGGCTCCAAGTAGCCTACAGTAATTAAACAGCGTCCGAGATCCACGGGTTATAGTCCGACGTCCAACCATAAGCAGAGCCACGTCGAGCAGCCAGAATAATGAGGGTTCTAAGCTATGCGTGAAGGACGTTATAAGCGTAAGGGGTGCACTGGCACCTCAGCGTGCCTGGGGGTACATGACGCTGCGGCGACGCGCGTTGAGGATGACGAAGTCCTCCATGAGGATCGACGCCCGCTGGGGCTTGCGGGTTATGCTTTTCCACGCACGTATGATGCGGCGCTCGAGGTACTTGGTGACAGAGATGCTGCTCGGCAGGTCAATACGCTGCAAAATATTGCTCTATGGAACATAGCTCACCGAGGCTTCTCTGCAAAGGCGACGACAACGTAGCGGGAGGCCATATCAGCAGCTATGGTAGGTAGGGAGGAGGGATTTGTGGTGTGGGTGATGCTTCCAAAAGGCTTATGTTGCGAGGGTCGGGACGACGTGCAGGCGGTGGGTCGTTGACAAGGGGCGCCTGGCTATTAAAGAAAGTTTACACTGCGTCGTCGCAGACGAACAGGAGAGTACAACAGGAGGGTATAGCTCAGGAAATGAGCTGTGGCGAGTCGCAAGACCCCCAGCCTCTCACTCATTCTCGCTTTATACCTCATATTGCCGCACGCCCTGGCCGCGCGGACCCCATTTTACGCATGGGGCACAATCCTACAAGGGTCGTTGACAGGGACAGCAGACAGCATGAAATGCGCACCGCCTTTGTTAATTGTTCTAGCAATGCCGAACGTGTGCATCTGTGGAAACGCGGCGGCGGCAAGGACTTCGATTGCACGCCTTGGGAACAAGGCAATGCTGTTCAAGCGCGAGGTCATTGTTCGACCAACCGTGAGAAATTCCCGTCGCAACCTGGTCGAAAACCGTGTGTCCGCCTACCTAAATCGCCATTATTATTCAAAATATTCCGAGTGGTTGATATCATGATTATTTGCAATGAACTCACGCTTGGTAATATTTTGGGAGACGGCTCGGAGGAAACAGGCGACGCATTCGGAAGAATGTTATTTGGCGTTATTTGTGCACCAGCTTGTCCTCTATAAGGAAGGCGTTAAAGTTCGAAGCTGGCATCGTCTGTCTCAGCGACATCCGTCAAAATGTTCTTTGCATTCTTTTCTACTACAAAAGCGCACAGAAGCTCCGAAGCAGTTCACCATTTCAAGGGAGGCGCTGGTACATGTTGTTAGTGCTGCTTCTGGACAGCCTTGGCCCTTTCAGCCCAGACTTGAGCGATAGCAGGGCGCTCCAGCAGCCTCTTGTGCCACCTGAGCTCGAAAGCGAACGTTAGTAATGCTCTTGCAACGCATTAGCAGCAAAATGCCCACTTTGCTGTAGCAGGGAACTCTTTGTCAAAGTCAAAGTTCTCCAGCAGGAAGTTAGCAGCAGCATCGTTCCATCTGTAGCCACATAGTGATCAATAGTCTCGCCCCGCCCTCAGGTTTGGCATGAACGCACGTTAGGAAGGAAAAATCGGCGACGGTAGCCTTGTTGCCGACGAGCCACTCGCGTTTCGAGAGCACACCCTCGAGCACGCCGAGCACACGCTTAATCTCGCTTCGGTACCGCTCAACTGCGCTGGGAACCTTCTCCGGGTGATACACGGAGAACCAAGCCACCTGGCCGAAGTATGGTCCCTGGCCGGACGCTTGGAAGTACAACCACTGTAGCTGTGTGTAGTACTCCTCCGTGCCAGGAGCTACCGAGATCTTCCGGTCCTTATCGTACTTGTCGACGACATACTGGGTGATAGCATTGGACTCCCTATGGCTTGTGTGTTAGAGAGATCGGATACGTGAGCGAGTCAGAGAGACCTACCAGACAACAAAATCGTTGTTGTGGTGGTCAATCAGTGCGGGAATGCGACCGTTCGGATTGTACTTGGTGAACTCTGGAGCCTTGTGTTCGCCCTTCTGGAAGTCAAGAAATACGGACTCGTAGGTCAAGCCGAGCTCCTGCAGGGCAAAAGCGACCTTCCTACAAGCGAGATAAAGCGTAAGACTCAAGCATTAGGCTATGCTTCTCAGCATTACGGACCATCCATTAGGTCCGCGGTCGTGGGTGTAGAGGGTGAATTGCTTTCCGTGGGACATGTTGTGGGAGGAGCTGAAGGGGTGCGGAGGATCTGGGAGTCTGTTGCACCCCTCACAACTAGCAAGTGGGCCCTTAAGTACGCATCGAGGTCCTATACATTAAGACAAAATTGGCGAAATGTCCCGTGATACTGACCAAGCTGATTGGACTCTCGTAAAGTTCACCTTCATGAGATGGCCTGTCATTGAGCAGACGTACCCATACTTGCATCTCCCACACTATTCATTCCCGTTACAGCGCTAGCGTTGCCTCAGCTTACTAAACTCAAGTCGGAAGAGCGCAGCTATAGGAGATTGATGGCCTTGCATTGGCAATTTTTGGCTGACACGGCTAAAGAAGTTCGAGTGGCGTGTGGGCCACTCAGACAGAGCAGGAGGATATGTCCATATCCTGTTTACGCGACGTCCGCCCCTCCCGGAAGCGGCATAATTACGCGATGTCGGCAACATAGACCCGACTCATTGCGCGCGCAAAGAGCCTTATGGAGGACGTTACGGCTTGCCGCACGCACATCGCCGGTGCATGCTCTGATATCAGCTCGGGTCGGTACACCGAGCGACGTAAGAGGATGTACGATGAGCGCCATAATGGGTAGTCTTCTTAGTCAACCAGCATCGAAGTAATGGGAACACAGCGAAAACGCAATGGGTACGTATGTGTTCTTCGTGGAATCTCTGCAACAGGCGAAGGATGAGTAAGTATTTGATCGCAGCTGGCGGCTATTGTGGCAACACAGGCGGCTTACGGAACGAAAGATGGTCTGCAGAGAGTAAATAATTTCTGCTGAGATTTGAAGCAGCAACATCACAGTGCTTTGTAGATCGCCTGGTAGTAGCTCTCCGAGGGGAAAGAAGACCTGCAACTACATAAGCGCCCTTTATCGATTGGCTCGGCTTCGAAGCCCTGAAGTGCGTGACAAAGTCGCTTGGCATAAGCAGCCCAAATAGTCGTCGCCATCTAGTACGACTCTTCTCTTCGTTGAATTCAAGAGGATACAAACTTCGCAAATTTACGTCTTATACAAATTCTAGTCTTTAAATAAACAGACGTGTAGCTGAGCATGTGCTCCCCAGTGACGGCATCACTTTCTCGAAGCATGGTCGCACTGCGAAGCTCAGGACCTTGATAAAAAGTTACTGAATAGAATATGTGCTATTTTTACATGTAGGACACGAAATCCCGAAGTATTCGAAGACGAGTAAGAGAAGGGAGCGGAGAAGCGAGTCAGATCAATAATACTGTAGGGGGTGGTAAGCACGTTTTTTTCTCGGGAAACCTAGTCAAAGCTAGTCAAACCGTGGGACAGAATATATAAGATCCGGCGTAAATTCGCCAAGTAACGCCTATACCGCCTAAAATGCGGTAAAACCAGAAGAAATTAATGGTTTTCTCCAATTTTCTCAAACCAGAGCCAGTTTTTAGTTAGTTTTGCAGGGACAAAAACACTCAGCATTGAACCAGATATCTTGAACACACCGAAAGGTACTCGCAGCTCTTTGCACTTGTTCACTCTGCTTGAGTGGCCAATCCCAGACAACAATTATTTTTCTCCTGTTCTCCGAATATCCACGAGCTCCGTTCAGTGCTATCAAGTTCACCTATAGTACGTAACGCATTCTAACTCTCTAAAAAATACTTCTACGCAATCACTTGTGCTAACCTCACTTCTGAGCGAGGAGCTTGGCGCGCTCATCCCGAACCTTCTTGACGGCGGGGCGCTCGAGGATCTTCTTGTGCCACTTGGCAGTAACAGGGAACTCCTTCTCAAAATCGAAGTTCTCGAGGAAACGCTCGACGGTGATCTCGTTCCAGCTGCAACAGCACGGGTAAGTACTGATGATATCTTACGATCAATAATAGGTAAAATTGTGCTCACGGGAAGAAGGCGATGTCCACGACGGTCGGCCTGTTGCCGACGAGCCATTCCCGCTTCGAGAGCTCGCCTTCGAGGACACCGAGCACTCGCCTAACCTCGTTCGTGTAGCGGTCGAGGGCGCTCTGAACCTTTTCCGGGTGGTAAACGATGAACCAAGCCAGCTGGCCGTAGTACGGGCCCTGACCGGTCCCCTGGAAATAGAGCCACTGGAGCTGCGTGTAATACTCGTCCGTGCCGGGGGCAGCGGAGATCTTGCGCTCCTTATCGTACTTGTCGACGATATACTGGATAATCGCGTTGGACTCCCTGTTGTGTGTGTGTTGGCAAACTAGCAGAGTACTGCACGATTGTAAAAGACCTACCAGATGACGCAGTCGTTGTTACCGTGGTCGATGAGCGCAGGGATACGGCCGTTCGGGTTGAACTTGGTGAGGCTCTCGGGACCCTCATGCTTCTTCATATCCAGCTCAGGAAACACAGACTCGTAGGTTAGGCCGAGCTCCTCAAGGACGAAGGCGACCTTCCTGCAAACAGGTATGATCAGCATTTCGCCGTGCTACGTGCAACTGGACGGAGACACATACCACCCGTTCGGGCCGGCCTTGTGGTTGAACAGAGTGAACTGCTTGCCGTGCGACATGCTTGGTGTGTGCGAGGTGCAAGGGACGAATGCAATAAAGATGTGAGGCTGACTGCTGGTATTTCCGCCTGAGGCGATGGGCCTTATATGCAGTCCCAGACGCAGGATTCGAAGGATGACCAAGGACATAGGTGGCACGCTCTATAAGCATCTCTTCCAAGCGGAGATATCGTTGTGTACGTTCGTGCAGCATTGCCTATGATTGTGCATCGCCAAGACTGCCTGGAGCACATACAGAAATGGCGGCTGACCAATGCGAGGATTACTCATTGACTAGAGAATGAGATGGAAGTTGATTGCCGCAGGAAGTGACAGTGGGCTCTGCAATCAAAAAGCATTAGCGAATGCCTTGTAACATGCTAGGATGTTCGCGTTGCTTTAGCATACGTCAACCATAAAATAAGAAAAATGCCGCCGCACCTTTAGGACGGTGGTCGACGATGTCGCCGCCGCCGCATCAAAAGTCGAAAAACCCACCGGCAGCTACCGCGCCTGCAGTACTGACTCAGCCAAACCGCTTACCAATCCCATGACATAAGTTTGCAGAAGATCGAAAATCGAGTAACCCCACTAGTTTTACGAGCGACCTGCACAAGCGGCATGTGTCTTTGGGTCGCCGTGACCAGCGTCGCAACATACCGGTCGAGTCACAGGATTACTTCGCTAGGCTGCAAGACGTCTGATACGTGGACCACCACGCCTTCAGAATATTCCAGCACCTACCATTCGCGTGTATTATTTGCGTGTGGTCCAGCAATCGTACGGTAGGTGCCCTGCGATTTGGGAGAAGAGGATGCAGCCTGCACCTGAGTGAGCGCCACAACGCCGGCGCACAAATCCTAGGGCTATAAATGGGTATTTTGCTTTGCGGGCGCTACATTGAGGTCCTGCCAACGTCCTATGGAGGAAAGGAAGGCTAGAAAACGTAAAACTATAGCTACTACACTTACTACAGAGAGCTGAGAGATTTTTTCGAGATGTGGTACAGAGAACGATACACGTGATGTGCGACGACCCGGGAGCCACAAGCGGATGCTTGGTTACAGGGAGATTTGTGAACTGTCCAGCCCAAGGGAGCGCAGGAAGAGGTTCACGTTCGCGAGTCGTAGGCGGCGTGTCTCCTCGTCGACGATCCAGCCTTTGGCGACGGAGCTAATGTTGTCGAGTACGCGCTCGCGCAGCGACGTGACAAGAATCTGCTGCTGCTCAGAAGCACTCTGGCTGCCGACGGATGCGAAGAATTGCCACGTATGCTGATCGATGCGGTCAATATCAGGGATATTCATGATAGTGACATTCGCGTCGACGGCCTGGCGCACGGAGGGAAAGAGGAATACGAAGTGTGGCGCGAGAAGCTGGAAGAGGTGATCGAACATCCGTTGCCTGCAAGCCGAG